CCTTCCCCATGTTTCTATTATATATTAATTACATATAATTATTCTTATATTTATAATTTCTTTATCTTATTTTAATTACATTGTTTGTTTTACTTATTATAAGTCTAATAATTATATATCTCTCTATAAAATCTAGTGGTTTATCTGGAACAAGAATACGAGTTCTAAAGGTAACAGTATTCTTGTGAACTTGACACGTTGTTGAAGTCGCACGCGCGAGAAAACGCGTCCCCGCTGATAACACTGTACTCAACAGAGCGATTCTTTGGTTTATTTCAAATAAAAAAAGTCCATATAAACATGTGTTCTAAACGGCTTAGTTTCCGAAATACAGGTGTGTTCGCAAATGTTTGACGAAACGGTAAATTGCGTTGGAGATATCTTCCTGCATAAATATGCCTTGCTTCAAGTGAGTTACCATTCGCACAACCGTAAACAAAGTGACAAAGTCAAAGTCAAAGTCACAAAATCAAAAATAGACTTCAGTTCTGATCTTTGAGCGTGTACGTCAATCTTTGAGAAGAAGGCTCAATGAATGTATCATGGCGCAAGGTGGACATTTTCAACAATTCATCTAATTGTTTTATTTCATTAGAAGAACTGAAGCCTGTGTGTGTGTTTTTGTTTTTCTGTTTTTGACTAGTTCAAGCTGTATTTCTTTCAAATAAACAGATTATTACTACACGTTTAAATTTTTTTATTTCGGAAACTAAACCGTTTAGGACACATGTTTATATGGACTTTTTTACTTGAAATAAACCAAAGAATCGCTCTGTTAAGTATGGCAACATACTTAACTAACACCCTATATATACATATACATAAAAAAGACAAGCAGAGAATACGCGCGCGCGCGCGCGCGCGCGCGTGTGTGTGTGTGTGTGTGTGTGTGTGTGTGTGAAAGGGATGCGCGTACATTTATTAGTTTATATGTATCGTACGTGTGTAAAAAGAAAAGAAAAAATAGCGTTCGAGGCTTTCGTCGAGTGACAGCCGTTACGCCGTTTATAAAGTTGAGCCGAGACTTTTATACAGAGTTCCGAGAAAATTTCTTAAAAAAAAACGCGAAATAAAAAAGAAGCGGATAAGAAATAGACGCGCGACTTTTGCGCGTCGTATAAAATTAGAAAAATTGTATTATTATTTTATTATCATCATTACTGTACGAATTGTATAAATTTTTTTTTCCGTAATTTCCTGTTAACCCGTTGAAGGCCCGCGTCGCCGCTTGCATCGCAATAAAGTAGCATGATCCTATGTTCACATCGACGGCGCTTTGGTACAAAATGCAGCTATCTGCGATTATATCTCAGAATAGAATCCTAAGATTATATACATGCGTATGTAGATGTATACATCCCCTATGCTGTCCTTACCCAAATGAAATCAGAATTGGATAGTTGCGTTGAAATCGGCGACGCCAAACAAGAATGTGAATATAGACTTTTCGAAACCACTGGCACGTATTCGCGTTGCACAATTAGCAGTAAATGTGGTTGGTCACGCCTTCAGCCTTCGTTATCCTCGTTGAACCGCGACCTTTTTATCGGGTAATTAAATACCGTATAGATTATTAATGCGGTCATATTTAGCGATTATTCGTGATCGCGGATGCGAACTAAGCTTGCTTGGAAACAAGTTCTTATTAGCACCGCACATGTAGCGTTAAATACGAACTACGTACTGTGGTCCTCGATCGCATTGATTGTGATCTTTGTACCGCTAGCTTAGGCAACACAACAGCCGTTTTCACCTGTATGTTTGGAACTTTACAAGATCTATCAAGACAATCGTATAAAAGCATGTACAATCATGAAAGAAAACTTAAAATAGCGCCAAAATCTTGAAAAAAAATCCCATATTATCTTTATTTTCTATCTTTTATCGTGAAAATATAGAGAAATCAATTTAAAGAAATTTTTTTATAATAATAGACGTGTGGTTGTTAGTTAATTTGATAAATAGTAAATACATACAGTAATTGATTTGCTATAATTATAATAACAAATAGTTTTTTTACGATATAATTAAACAAATTAATTTGTTTGACTATTAACATATAAATATAGTTACAAATCAGCCGAGACGCGTGCGTGCGAGTAATTAAATTTATAATACAAATGATTATACTGGATAATAATTTTTTAATCGATTTGGTAATCGCTATCAAGTGCAAGTATTTATACAAATTAATTTGTTATCAAGTATAGTTATTGCTAAGGTAGAGATTTATACAAATGTACTTATACAAATGATTTATACTTTATAACAATTTCCAAATTAATATATAAATAGGTATATTTAAGTATAATTGTTTATATATCCAGTACAGTTATTTGTGTTATAAAATTTGATAATCGCATACATCGCACAGTCGTGCCTCAGATTCATCCTAGTCATCGATTTGTAACTACATTTTTTACGACTTTAGAATGTTGCTTGAACGAGCAAAAAAAAAAAATTTATATCGTCGCGTCAATCTCTTGAAACTGAATCCTACCGAGAAACATTGGCTGCGTTCAGCAGAGAAAGCAGCTTTGCAACTGTTGTAAAATTCTTCAATATGATTGGTTTATACATTTAGATCTGTCAGGAACCAAAAGCAAGAACCAATCGTATTGAAGAATTTTACAACAGTTGCAAAGCTGCTTTCTCTGCTGAACGCAGCCATTGTCTTCGAAATCTTGTAAAAATATTCTAAATATAATAAGATAGTAGATCACATTATATATCATTCAATCTGGAAGTTTCATCTGGTCTTATAAGATTTTTTTATTTTACCTAAGAAATTTTGCTCTTCAAATTTATCTGCTTTTATAAGAGCGTAGGTCACCACAGAGGAATTTCTCGAGATTTCCTTGCCTCTTTGACGTCATCAAACTATATATATATATATATATATATGTGGCTGAATCGATTATTTTACCGCTTTAAAGTTCACAGGATCAATTGACCACATTTAGCGCTAAATGCAGCGTTAATCTTAGAATACTAATCATACTTTTAAGACTAATCATACGTTAAATTTACGTATGTTGGGATTTTTTTCCTAAAAAAATACCAAGATAAAAATAAACATTCATTAGAAATAAACTAATGGGTAAGAAAAACAAAACGAAAGGAAAAGAAAAACTGTTAAACTTACATGCTATTTTTTTATTATATATTATTAGTATTCTAGGATTAAATGAAAATGAGTGCAAGGAATTCTCCTTGACAAACATTATTTGTGGAAAGTACACTTGGTATAAATGAGAAAATTAAAGATAACTCGACGAGAAAAGAAAAACTTGTGGAAAATAATTACTTTATATTTTTTTATGACCTTGAACGGGTTAAAAATTTTAACATGAGTGAGAGTAGAGAACAAGGATTACGCGTGTGAATGTAAAATTAATGCCTTGATTTGTAAATAAAACTTCATTAGGTACTTCCATTAAATGCTGTTTTTATTTGTGCATTTTTTGTTGTTAGGCACGTCTTATTGTTCAGCCTGTATTTTGTTATGAATGTTTTTACATAAGCTCAAGTTTTAATTATAAATATACATATTTTACAATTAACGTACATAAGTAAAATTTCGTAAAATACGATTACTTATATGTGTATACAGGGCATCCCATAATTAATGGCGTTTTCGGCCCGACCGGATTTGTACCTGGGTTGAATTAATGACGTTTCGTGCTCTCCTATTGGTAGAGCGTGTAACGCCAACCAATATCGAAGCTAAATTTTCCAACCCAGGTTAATGCAAACCCGGTCGGGCCGAAAACGCTATAATATTTCTTGGAGTAAAAGAGGATGAAATTTTTAACTAAAAGTTTCTTTCCCAATTTTGGCCCAAATTATTATTTATCGAGTTATTAATGATTAAAGTTGATCAATCAGATTGCACTCAGTCGGAATACGCAGGAGCATAGCATGTCATACGGCTCCTCGCGTCTTACTGTATATTTTCCTGATTAAAATTTTATTAAAATTTTTCATATTAATTAATAAATATATGAATAAATGAGTAGATAAATAAATAAATAAGAATAAATTATAGTTGGAAACTTATCCAATTTCTGATTGTTTTTTATTCTTATTTATTATTTATTTATGTATGTATATATATATATATATATACACACACACACAGTGTGTTTCAGACCTAACGCACCACTTGTTAATGGCAGATTCCTGAAGCATTTTGAAACGAAAATTTAATACCATAATGTCCAGATTAAATATTTTTTTAACGTAATAAATATCAAGAATTAGAAATATCAGTGATTTCATTTTCACTTACGTAATATTTATATCGATATTAACACAAGGCAACCATTATACTTTTACTTTTAGCACTTTGCGTTATATCATACTTGAACTCGCAAATTTTAGACAGTATAATTTGCTAGCTTTAAATGATTATAATTCAAAGACTATTATAGCCTCAACATTTTGTTATTAGAATTTTAGTCTCAAAACAACTTCAGGAATCTGCCATTAGCAGGTGATTCGTTAGGTCTGAAACATCCTATATATATATATATATATATCTCTCAGTTACGTAACAGTGGACTTACAGACATATGTTCATGTGAATTTTTTTTTTACGTTTGGTGTGGGAAGCTTGGCTCCGAAGTTTATTATTATACTTTATTTTAGTTACACCCTGTGTATATAGATGTGTGTGTGTGTGTGTGTGTGTGTGTGTGTGTGTGTGTGTGTGTGTGTGTGTCGAGTGTAACTAATGTTATGCTTCACATACACAAAATGTATACATATAGAAGCATTATTGCACACTCTCCTATTCATAGATGCCACAAATTAGAAAAAATATTTTAAATCGAAGATACACTTCATACCTTTTCAAATATAAGTTATATTAAAAAGTAATTATAGCAATTATGTCAAAGTGTCGCAACTGATAAATAAGTAGTTTGGTAGGCTCTACATAGCTTACAATATATGACAAATAGTTAAATGTAGTTTTTTTATATTAATACTAAAACAAATAAGGCACTACAAGCAAATCAATGAGTATTGATTAAATCTTGAGAGATTCACACAGAAGAGTCCAAGCCCAGATCTGCATTTACGCTGGTGGAATTCTCTTAGGATTCAGATCGTACATACGTCGCATCCGCTTTTTCAATTCTTGCGGAAACTTATCATAGCACTTCTTGCACGCAGGCTTTAGGTCAAACTCGAAGAACTTTGTTTTCTGATTCATCTTCTGGTCGCAGAATGCACATGCAAAGTGATGAACGCACCATGCCTTATTTAACGCCGTGAAAACTAGAAAAAAAAACAAGTATTGTAATAAAAAAGATAAACCTTTCCTTTTGCAGTCGGTCCCAAATGATCTCCGAGTGACTTTGACCTTGACTCTGAAGAAGGATAAGGTCATTGACCTTTTTTGCTCGTTATTTATTAAAAAGTTATTAACGAAACAATTTTTATAAATTATACGCGATTTATAAATTAACTTGTGATATTTATATCTGTCATATATCAGATACATACCATCTCCAGAGATAACCTGATTACAGACAAAGCAGAGATTCCCAAACAATTGATGATAATGAATCTCGCAATAAGCAAGACCTTTTTTCTCGTAATGTCGATGACCTAGGAAGGGTTTTTCGCATTTAGCACATACAAAATGCTCCACATGCCAATGTTTGCCAAGTGCCGTTACCACGCGTTCTTCGATAGGACGTCGGCAGGCGCCACAAATTGGGATTCCCATTTTATCGTGACACCGCAAACAATAGAGTTCGTTCTACGTAACATAAAGTTCATTATTAAAACCGAATTAAATTGTAAAAATGTCTGTGTGTGTAGATTTAAAATATATTTTTTACCGTTAAAAACAATTACGCTTAAAATATTAAATTCTGTTCATATGATATATATATAAACATATATATTCTTTTTTAGACATACTAGTTAATTTCTTATAAAATCTGAGGCTTAAACAATTATCCATATCAGAGTTTTACCAGAAAATGAATTTTAAAATTCCCTGACTTCCAGGTTTTCCAGATAAAAACGGGAAATTTCCATGACAAATATGTAAAATATGTAAAAATTTTAACATTTAGAATCAAGAATTGTAAGAAAGCTAGCTTATATTATCAAAAACGCAAAAGAAGCTCAGTAGCATAATAAAGTTTTGGGGGCAAATTCAAGCCAGTAAAAAATAAATTAGTATTGGACAAAAAATGCAGTTATGAAACAGAGCGATCAAATAAAATTACTGAATAAAATATAAATTTTAATTATTTTTTTAAAATCGTTTACAGTGCACGAGTTTTGAATATATTTGATTATAAAAACGTCAGATATATTTAAAAAATTATAAAAATTATTTGGAATAGGAGCAATTTAAGGAAATTATGAGTAAAGCTCAAAATTCCGTCTCTTTTATATTTTCCCTTGACTTTTCCCGGTTTTTTGGCAGGGTCTGTGGCAACCCTGCATATCCTGTAAAATATTAATATAATCTCTACCATTTCATTGGCAGCATAGCCAGGTCGAGAACGGACTTCTCTGGCTTCGGAATTGAGTTCTATACCACAAGTTGTGCAATTGAAATGATAAGGATGATAAAGTTCACCACGGAACCGTAAAGGTTTGTCATCGATTACTCCGCTAGAAATTACAAAAAAAAAACCATAACGATTACAATTTTCAAACAAGTATTTCATATATTGCGTAAATTATAGATTTTTCTATAAGTAGATTGCTGACTTCGCCTCCATGTTTGAAGACAGCGCTGGGCAGCGCCATATTTGTGTTTACTCACTCTCACTATATACGTATATGTGTAAATCGCACGGATAATCACTGCTCAAGTAAATATTGAAAAGTACATATCTATTATCTTTATAATAAATAAATAATGTAATACTTACGAAGAAAAAACAAATGAACATTACTTCCTACTTTATATCGACTTTTGCAATTTATTATTGCAAATTACTGTTTTTTTATATTATTTTTCAGAATGCAATAGAATTAAAAAGCTACCATGAAATGACATTTGACATTTATGATAATTTCTGTTATGACTGAACGCAGTGTTTTCACATAAATTCACGTTGATACAAGGACACTTCGGAATCAGGTTAATCTTTTTCTATCACATTGAGTCAGCAGTCTAGTTATAAAAGTCTGGTTTTTCCATTCTCTATACTAGACATTTTAGAAATTTTCAAAAATCTATCTCAAGAAGCTATAAGTGCGTTTAAAGAGATTATAATTTCTTTTCAAAATAAAATTCTGAATCGCTTAGGCATCATTTTAAGCATTTTGATAACTAAACATTTGGATTGCAAAAACTGCCTACCATTTATGATACCATAAGATACATCTTTTATATAATAATGAAAACATACTGGCATTGATGACATATATGTTTTCCAAGTACACCAGCTTTCACATTAGCGTTGCACGTATGGCATAAGGCTCTACCTTGACACTTGATAAAGCCTGCATCCGCCAATTCACCATTACATTCTTCGCAGCGGAAGCATTGTGGGTGCCAGTTTGAATTCATCGCTTTAATCACGCGGCCAATAACAAACTCGCCTATCGTAAAAATGAGAAAATTTGATTAAATACATTTTAAAATGTTATCTCATATTTGATTATACTCTCAGAATTAATAATATTGAAGCAATTAACAAAATTAAAATCTAACTTACCACACTTGCCACAACATGGTGCAAACAGAACATGAAAGTCATGCTCGCAATATTTGTATCCTTCAAATTCATAAAAGATTCCATCTGGAAATGGCCGGAAACATTGCGCGCACCTATCAAAATAACATTACCTCATGTAATAAAAATCCATAAGATAGTAAATTGTTATAGCTATTTTTGTTTTACAGAAAGTAGCGACGAAATTAACATTGGAGCATGCAATTTGTAAAAAGGCTTCTCCAAAAATATTACGTTTTTTTAATTTATGAAAATTGAATTGAATAGAAAAATGGTAGATACATGTACAAGATCACAATTAGAAAATTGTGGAAATTCAATAAATATTATTTCGTGATACATGAACAAAATGAAATGAATTAAACGCTATCCCGTAAAAGAAATGTCATTTATATTAACACAGACCATACGAACAATAATATAAATTTTACTTATACAGAGAAAAGGTTAAATATTAGAAAAAGTAAAAATGTGACAATTAATTGCATTCAATGATACATTTTCAAATCTCGTCACATACAGTTATTTCCATAAAAGAAATCACTTTAAATTCTTTAAAAATAAAAATAAAGTTGTAATTATTATTAGTGTTAAAAACTGTATTTAATACTTCCTAATAAAAATACCTCGAGTGTGAAAATTCAAATAATCACCGTTTTAGAAATCATATATGAAATCAGACAAATCGCTGATTTCTTATCATATCTATTATAAGTTTATGTATATTCTTTTCATACTATGTGTTAATAAAAGTAATGGATTTTTTCTGCAGTATAGTATTTAATTTGTTTTCGTCTATTTATTCATAAATACAAAATACATGTAATAGCTATTTATTCTCAGTTCCTTTCTGCCTGTAAGCAAACTGCCCACAGTATGATAATAAATTTATAGCAGATATGCTTAGAGCTAATATCTAGTTATTACAACAAATCTATATCATCTATATATTGTATATAGTACAGTATATTTTTTGCTGGCTGTTTTCCTTTTAGAAAACACAATTGACACAGACATCGTATTATCCTTCTTGACATTCAATAACAAAAAAGACATTTGTGTCGACTGTAACATCTCTTAAAAAGAAAGCAGCCAAAATAGGCAAAGTGTCGGTAGTAATTAAATAGAATCTGTCGTTCATAAACATTTAAATAGAATACAAACACATCATTTAAAATGATTATGAAACAGCAGATTCTGCTCAGCTTCTATAATCAGTCTGCCATTATATTCTTTTACCAGATTCTGTTAGATTCTTGTTGACATTCTATCAACATTTCTAGTAGACACTTTTAAAATCTATGTTTAACAGGTTTGGCTATCCAAGCTAATTGTTATCCTGTACATACTTACACAAAACACTGTGGATGCCACAATTCACCATTTGAATTAACAATTTTCTCATGCGCAACAAAACCTTCTCTACACCGGGAACAAAACATATGATCCAACGACATCTCTGTAACCCTGTAACACATAAATATTTTAATAAATATTTTTAACATAACGGTTTAATTTTAAATTTATAGTTAATTAATCATTAAATAATAAAAGCGTGGGTAAGAATTCCGTATACTACCCAAGTTTGATTTCGATGAAATTTTACAGATGTGTAGTACTAACTTGTAGTCAAATCCATAAATGCATAGTTGCAGAAATGTTTTGTTTTCGAAATATTCAAGACTTATTTAATCAACTTAATTAACGTTTTTAATGATTTTGGTATGAAGAAATAATTATAATTAAAAACTATTTTGTCGACTAGATAGTTTTTGTTAGTATATTGAGAAATTGTAAGTATAATGTATCGACAAAATATAAATTATTATAAAAAAAAAACAAAAATTGAAAATCTCATTTTCTGATATTTTATTACATTATCAGCATTTAATAATAAAAGGAGGCAAAATTTAACATATTTTTATTTATCTGTATTATTTGATTAATAATTTGTATAGAAAAATTGTATAGAAATTGCTCTTAATTGCTCATAAAATCCTTACCTTGCATTAGGGGCGTTGGGGCTTTCGTTAATCTACAAGTTCATTTTTCATATGTGGTAAAACATACAAAATGAACATTCGAAATGAACACATGCACCACTATGAGCATCTCGCGATTCCCGCACAATCAGAGTAGCGTTATAATTGCGCACCAATATCAAATGTTTTTTCAACTTCGAAGTATTACTATATTGAAAAATTAATCACGCAAAACTTGAATTTAATCGACAACGTGCTTAAATTGTTCGCCTTTCTGCAATAATTACTCTCTAAAAATGAACTCGTAAAGTAAAAACCTTATAAGGTGTGACAATTTTATGAAATTAAAAAGTAACTTGTCAACATATTAACCATATACAAATATTAAAATAATATTAAATTTTACCTCCTTTTATGATTTATGATCTAAATATTGATAATACAAAATATAAAAAATTGATAATATAAAATTTAAATATTGATAATATAAAATATAAACAATAATGAAATATTTTATTTTTTATTTTTTTTTATAATGATATTTTGTTAACATTGTATGTACAATTTCACATAAAATGTAGTCAACAGAATAGTATTTAATTATAATTAATTTTTCATGTAAAATCTTAGAAAACGTTAATTAAGCCGATTAAATAAAAGGAAGGTAGAAATGTTCGAAAGTTTCACTACCGCTCGAATATTGTTTTATTTCTATGTTTTCTTGTGTAATTACATTTTTCATTATAACATTTGTCATTTTGGTACCGTTTCCTCCACTCCAGGCGTCACGCATCTCTTGAAGTTATAATGAAAAATATAATCTAATTAACGTTTTATGGTGCAACATTATTCACATTTCATTTAATATGGAATTAATTTCATGAATAAATTATTGAAGCATAACTGACAGCGATTTTATAACGATACGCGAATATGGATTTTATTCACTTCATTTCAATGTACAAATTTTTCCTTAAGTCTGGAGTTGTTATAATGATTATTTTTGGTTTTTACGAAGAAAATTATATACGAAAACATAAGAAATAAAACAATCCTCAAGCGGTAGCAAAATCCTTGAAAATTTCAACCCTTTGGATATTTTGAAAACTAAGCATTTCCGCAACTCTGCATTTATGGATTTGATTACATTTGTTAGTTAGTCCATTTGTCCTTTTTCGAAGAATTCTGAACTAGTTCTGAACTAGTTCAATATGTTAAAGTGTAACAAACTATACTTGTCTCACTCTAACTTACTGCACCAGTTCAGAACTTGGTGTGGAAAAAAAACAGGCCTAGTATTACATATCTGTAAAACTTGATTGAAATCGGACTTAGGTAATGTACAGAGAGAAGTTGCGAGCCGAAGCGTGTTGTGAATACAATCATATTAATTCCATAAATTTGTTATTTGGATAGCATAGACAATTATCCAGGTAGCAACGTGTCTGTCTTGTTGCTGGCATGTTGCTTGCTAAGTATACATTGCTATTGGAATTGCAGCATCCTCATTTATTAGCAACTTAATGCCTTGACAATATGACAACTTTGAGTAGCAATTTGCCAACAACTTAAAAATCGTCATCATCAAAATTTGTACTATTGCCGTCATATTGCTATAATAATATGCAGCATCACACAATGCTGTCATGTTGCCAAGATTGATTGAAAATAAACATTGATGCAGCTATCTTGCTGTTAAACTGCTGGTAATACATACTATAGGTATACATTGTTGCCTGCATGTTGCTACAATATCTGTATATTCGAAATCGTTGAAGACAATTAATATCTATTGTACATCTATGGCAAGTTGCTAGCATCATAAGCAATCATAGATTTGTGTGATTTTACTGAGACATGCTTTGCTATCTGGGTATTTATGCATACACATTTTGTCTGTTATCAAGAAAACAGGAGATAGTTTCTGTTACATATAGTTGTGTCCTATATATTTGTGTGAAAAAATTAACATTTTTCAAGGAGAAGATGCTTACCCTGGCATATTTTAATGGAAGAAGACGATTACGTTTTAACGTTGACAAACACTTTTAGCTATCTTGTTTTTCTATACTCGCCTACAATCAATTTGTTTTACACAATAATCTCTATTATTGGAACACTATTTAAAAAAGTGTTAAAACAAATAATATAGGTTCATAGAAATACTGCGAACTTAATATACACTTAATATACGCTGATTCAATAAAGGGTTTTTTTATTGATGTTTTTTTTATTGATGCACGAAATTGCAGTACAACTTTACTTTTCACTTTCGTTAAATTTCAAATATGTACTTATTTTGGTAATTATGAAGGAAACAGGCCTACTCACCGACCTTGATGAAATTAGGCTCATTCGACGCGTTTTTGCACGAAATGAACAAATCTGGTAGAAAAAGTGTCGCTCTGCCCCGCGAACCGAGATATTAAGATTTTTCGTCGAAATTCAGGTTCAGGTTCAGGTTACGTTCAGGTTAGGAAATCTGTTATATCGATGATATAGGGCTACACAAATTCTGTTTTACAACCACAAATTCTCTACTTTAAAAAGAAATTCTTTGCTTTAAATTCTCTGGTTAAAAAATATAAATCTTCTCCTTTAAAAACATAAATTATTTTCTATTATATATAATTTTCATTTTTAGTTGATGAGAATTTGTTTTTAAAACAGAGAATTTACGTAATTTTGATGCAGAAAATACTTATTCTAGCTTCACTAACATGTTTTTATGTCCCTCTATGCTATCAATGCAACAGATTTTTCAAACTCAACACAGTCATCAATTTTAACGATTAATATCTCGGTCTACAGGGTAGAGAGCGGCACTTCTTTTTACCAGATTCGTTCATTTCGTGTAAAAACGCGTTAAATAAGCCTAATTTCATCAAAAACAATGAGTAAGACCGTCTTCTTCATTCATATTTACTTTTACATTATATTATCAAGTTAAGTTTAAAGACAAGCAAAGACTGAAAAACCAGACCTTAGCCATTCTCTCATTCTGCTATTTATCGATTTCTATTCTAATGTACACTGTTGTTTAATTAATGTATATTATAAATAATATTAATGAGACTACTCGACCAGTATAATTTTTGTTCAATCAATCTTCAACTATTAATCAACTATGAAATACCTGATAACATAAATATTTAATAAATTAATCGAATAGTACAATGAGGCTGAAGCACTACCTATCACATAGCTGACAAGCTGACATATCCTGTCAATTACCTATATTCCGTATTAATCTTATCAGATTTTAAGTAAACAGCCAATCCGATCTCAGCAAACGTGATATGACCTTTTATGAAAACGAATGTGCATTAAAAGTTGTCTAACCTAACCCTAACCTAGTGATTAGTCACCATTAAGGCACCTTTTCATGTTGACGTTCGACGCTCATTTTCAGCATCAAAATAGATCATGTGATCAAAATTGACGCTTGATATGCTGGATTCACACTGCATCCGATTTTTGTCGTACGACG